CCTTGTTCTGTTGAGCATGTTACTAATCACTTGTGGCAAATTCCATAACGCAATTGTTGTAAATTTGATACTAAGATTTGGCAAGGTTTCTGCGTTTGAATGTATTGATCCTGGTGGTCTTGGCTTGCAGCAACTACTCAAATAGCTCACAGATTTTCCAGTATTTGCCTGTGAAATCTGGCATGCCATTTGCTTATACTGACTGGACATATTCCTGTTGCAACCTATGTACATTCAGCATTTAGTAGAAAAATTACTTGGCTGGAGTTTATTACCGAGAATTCTTGGCTGAGTACTTTAAAATCAATAGAAGCAAACAATCTTCCTTCATTAAACAAGCTCCATCTCCTTTCTGAGGTGATCAGTTAACTTCCACCCATATATCAGGGCATTAATGTAACATTTATTCCCAGTACTTTATCTACTTCTGTAAATATCTGTGACATTGTTCCAATGGAAAAAAATGGACCAAAGTTCTTTAGTTTAAATCATAAATGTAATTTTATGTAAATTGCCACAACATCCAAATTTTGGAATAAAGTAAGTTTTTTAAAAAGATCAGTTTAATGGGGATTTTGTATAAATAGAAGTAAGAAAAGCCTGGTTATATCCTTATGTAAATGCTGGAATACTTGTTTAAATATTACCTTTTTCAGATTCTGTCATGTCCTCATTCATGTATTCAGTACAATGGACATAAGGTGACATGGGCCAAGGGCAGTGCATCTGTTTCTTTACATTTGTCGTCAACAGAATTGATCTGGTTCAATTCCTGACGTAGGTTGCCACTGTGTATATGTTGCAATAAATACATGAAAGAAACCGAGAAAACAGCATGTGATAATGTATTTACAATAAGATCAACTGCTGCATAAACTGCTTTTAAATTATATGTCTCAAAATTTCAATAGAGATTTTAACATACCTATTTTGCCTTGAGACACTAATGAAACAAAGCTCCTTTAGGTGGATGTATCTTCTACTTTGTCGTCATCTTTCTGCTTTCCCTATTTTGCTGTGGGTTGCCACAATGCTTCTTCATCTCCCCTATAAGTCACTTATTCTTATGTAAGTTTCTTGCCACCATAGTTTGCCTCTTTTCTTCCTGATGATCGTATCTCCATCACCTGCCTCACTACATTTATGTGCTGTCTACATGACAGATGACCATACCATTTCAGTCTCTTCTCAGCTACATATTATGGTGCTTCCACAATCTTTGTTAATCCTCTTGTTCTTATTTATTCACTCATGGGACATAGTGTTGCTGGCTGGACCAGCTTTTATTGCCATCCCTAGTTGCCCTTGAGAAGGTTTCTGGTAATTACTGCATATATCCATCTCATTGTCTGCATGTTATTAATGTTTAATAATAATTACTGTTTTCCTGGTGTTGCCCACACTTCTACACTATATATAAAACCAGGCAAGTTATACAGATTCAAAAACAGAAGTTGATGGAAAAGCTCAGCAGGTCTGGCAGAAACATAAAAGTTACACAGATTCTTCCTTTTCAGTTTTAATCCTATAACACATCACTGCACTTCTTCCAGTTGCTGCAACAAGAGCTAATCCTTTGTTTAATTTCTGTCCACATTTCTTAAAAAAAAAATCTTCTTTTATTTTTCCATGGGATGTAGACATCGCTGGCTGGGTAGGCACTTATTGCTCATCCCGAATTGCCGTAAAGAAGGTGGTGGTGATTTGCACCAGCTTCTGCAATCCTTTGGTTGTAGGGTCACCCACAATGCCATTGGGAAGGGAGCTCCAGGATTTTGACACGGTGACAATGAAGGAATGGCAGTTATGATTCCAAGTCAGGATGGTGACTTGAGACTGCATTTTTCTATTCGCTTTCCCTAGGTCTTCACTCTTACACCTTCACTGATCCTCTTATTTTGGTTCAAGCTGCTAGTCCATTTACTGACTTTTTAGGTAACTGATCTCCATACTCCCTCTGTTCCAGTGCTTTTCTCTAGATACTTGGCCATGTTTATAATTATATCCTCCACATAGTTCAGTGTCATCTGAACATCATTGACCATGGCACTTTCTGTCTCATTGCTCAGTTAAAACAGCCATGTCAATCAGGAAGAGGAAGGGGATGAATGCTTATCCTTGTTGCAATCCAACTTTGACTTTGAAACTAGCACCCCATCCCCATCACCAGTACTACTTCCTGTCACCAGGCTTTGCTTTCTCGTGTCCTTTTCAGCCTCTCCTGAATTTTTAATCTTTCTGTTTTACTGACTCACTGCTGTTTTTGTTCTTTAATTCCATCTTCCCTTCCCATCTCCTCTTTCACTTTTCTATTTTATCTTTTCACTTTTGTTTAATTTCCACCTTTCTATTGCTAACATTTGTGGGGTCAGTTAGACAGTTGGCCATACGGCTGGTTTACAAAGCAGAGTGATGCCAACAGCTTGGGTTCAATTCCTGCACAGGCTGAGGTTGCCATGAAAGGGGAGAGGTTGAGAAGAGTCCTTCCTGCAGTGAAGTGACCCTCAGTTTAAACGACAACCATTTGTCTCTCTCTCTCTATTGACAGAGCAGCTCTATAGCCTAGTAGGACTACAGCAAGATTAGTTTTAATATTCTGCAGTTATGCTCGATAGCAAAGGAGCAACATCAAGACATGACAACCCATTGAATTTAAACATTATACTAAGTGGAGGAAAATAAACTAACAAGGACTTCCCCCTTGTAACCAGAGCAATCAGGATTATATGTGGACTGCAGTAGGTCAAGAAGACAGCTAACCATCACCTTCTCAAGGGCAACTAGGGACAGGCAATAAATGCCAGCCAGCCGGTGATGCCCATGTTCCACAAGTAAATAAAATTGTCTTAAACAAAAATGACATTGGTGCTTCCACGCGTGAATCTACATTGACCTTCATGGATATCCACTCTTCTTGTCAGTCTCCAGACCATGATTTTCTCCATATCTTGAATTTAAGTGGTAGGAACTTAGGCCCTTGGGTACTTTTGCAATTTTGAATGATCTATTTGAATACTGATATCAAAATGCATTGCCTCCATAACCTCGGGAAATCTCTTGTTGCTAACAACTCCTTGTATATAACAATGCCTAGATGTCTCCAGTAGAGTCATAGAGTTGTACAGCACGGAAACAAACCCTTTGGTCCAACTTGTCCACGTTGACCAGATATCCCAAAACAACCTAGTTTCATTTGTCAGCATTTGACCCAAACACCTCCTAAACCCTTTGGATTTACATATCCATCCAGATGCCTTTTTAAATGTTGAAATTGTACCAGCCTCCTCCTCTTCCTGTGGCAGCTCATTCCATACACGCACCCTCCTCTGTGTGGAAAAAGTTGCCCTTTAGGCCCCTTTTACATCTTTCACCTCTCACCTTAAACCTGTGCCGTCTAGTTTTGGACTCCCCTACCCTGGGAAAAATACCTTGGCTATTTACCCTATCCATGCTCCTCATGATTTTTATAATTCTCTATAAGGTCATCCCTCAGGCTCTGACGCTCCAAGGAAAATAGCCCCAGCATATTCAGTCTCTCCTTATAACTCTCATCCTCCAATCCCAGCAACATCCTTGTAAATCTTTTCTGCACCCTTTCAAGTTTAACAACATCTTTCCTATAGCAGGGAGACCAGAATTGAACACAGTATTCCAAAAGTGGCCTAACCAGTGTCCTGGGGAGCCCCAATTCCTATACTCAATGCACTGATCAGTAAAGGCAAGTGTACGAAACACCTTCTTCACTACCTGACTACCTGTGACTCCACCTTCGAGGAACTATGAACCTGCACCACAAGGCCCCTTTGGTACTCCCCAGAACCATACCACTAAGTGTATGTCCTGTCCTGATTTGCCTTACCAAAATGCAACACCTCCCATTTATCTAAATTAAATTCCATCTGCCACTCCGTGGCCCATTGGGCCCATTTGAGCAAGGTCCCATTGTACTCTGAAGTAACCTTCTTCACTGTCCACTACTCCTCCAATTTTGGTGTCATCTGCAAACTTACTAACTTTTCCCCATGTATTCACATCCAAATCATTTAAATAAATGACAAAAAGACAAAAATGACAAGTAGAATTCTAAGCCTTTGTTGTTTCCTAGCACGTGAGGCGCTAAATAACTTTGTGTATGTCGGTTGCAGTTAAATATGTCGAAAAACTCCTGCAAGTAACTAAATCAAGTAATTATAAAAGAGCAAATTATCACTTGCATTTTATTCAGAGGTGGGATTAATCAATAAAATACCTTTTGGTAAGCTATGTCCAAAATCTATGATATAACCAAGAATTTTTTGGTTTATTCTAAACTTCTGGGTTCCAAACTAGCTAACACCCTACTGCCTATTAATAGAATTTGTATGTTTATGTTCCTGTATTTGGTGCCGGAAAATGTTCTTGTGAGCAAAGGTCTGTTACACTATGCCAGTGTCTATGACATCTGGGCAGGAAAATAAATGAACAATTAGATTGTTCTGCTACTATTTAAGAATTAGGATGATCTTCTTAACTTTTTCTCACAGAATTGTTACAGCCCATCATGCTGGTACTGGTTCTATTACCACAGGCTAGTGATGATCTCCTGCCTTTTCCCTACACCATTTCCACTCTAATCAATCAATGCCCTCTTGAATGCCTCAATTAAACCTGCCACCTCCATGTATCCATGCTGTGCATTCCATTTCCTAATTAATCATAGAAAATAAGAGCGGGAGTAGGCTGAACATCGAGCTCAATACTCTAATCCTCCTCCCCCATCAGCTCCTTTAGCCACAGGTGCTATTATTTACCTCCTGTTGGAAACCACACAATGTTTGGCCTCAACCACTTTCCGTGGTAGTGAATTCCACAAGCCACTCGCTGGGTGGAGGAATTTCTCCTCTCATTGCTAAAACGTTTACACCTTTATACTTAAACTACTCACTGTGTGAAAATGACTCTTCTTATATCACCCTTGCTTCATTTACACATCACTCATTTGTTTTTTTCTTTGTCTCCAGAATATCGCCTTTTGCATTTATTGAGTACGTGTGCCATTTACTGGATCGAAGATCAATATGCCACAGGAAAAGAAAGTACTACAGCCATCTTTGCAAGGTGCTATTGATCTCACTGCGGGAGCTACAGGTAACAGCATTTTTCTTTACTTTTCAAGAAAAAGAAATGTGAAAGTATATTTAATTCATTATAACAGTAACTACACTTCAGAACTACACTCATTGACTAACATTCTCAGTGATATATAAATGGAAGCCCTTCTTTCTCCTAGTTGTGAAATTGCCAATTACATTTTCAGCTGAGCTTTACCAGTTTTGCACTTTAGAGACACACTTGAAACCTCCTTCTGATTCACATTTATACTGTGGAGAATGGGAAAAATATGTAGCCTGGTCCTTCCCTCCCTTGGCTTCTTTTACTTTTTCCTGGGTGGTAAGAGGAACTGTTATAAGTTTTTTTTTTTAACTTTTACCTTTTTCTTTGACTGGGGTGCTGGTGAAAAGTATGAGAGGTTGGGCCATTGAGAAGATGGTGCAATTATTTTTGATCTAAAATTAATTTCCTTCTATTTCCTGAGACTAACATGGTTCAAGCAACAATTCAGTGATATGTGGAGGATCAAACTAGATACAGACCATCTACAGCAACTTTCTAAGCACAACCTGACAGTTGTGGAAAGGCTAACTGGAGAGATTTCTTATCTGTCTTGCCTTACAGTTCCTTATTAGACCTAGGTGCTGCTCTCATTTGGAATTCCATTCAAACTACAAAGTGTACTTTTGAAATCTGAATTCCTTTCCTTCTACAGATTCCACGCCACTTGAGAGCCTTCAGGCTTTAAAGTCCCAAACATGATGTCACACCATCACTATTCCTGATTTATGTCATTTTTTGCTTTATTTGGTGTGTAAGAACAGCTGCTTGAGCCTGTTTTACCATTCAGTTAGATCATTTCTGATCTATACTTCTGTTTCGTTTTACTTACCTTTGCTCTATATCCCTTAAAATCATGCATACAAATGATTGCTGATGCATAACTTAATTTTTGTATTAGCTTGAGATAAAGACCCACATTTCATTAGTCTGGTTACACTTTGTATCTGTGCAATTCTTTTCTGAAATTGTGCATAATAAATACTAACTGGAAACTGAAACTGCTATTGCCATAGCCATGTTTGGGCTATTTGATTTGCATTTGGAAGGATGGCCACTCTGTTGTGCTCTGAAATGGAACATGTCTTTATGCCAGTACAGATGTAGACATGCATTAGATATTGGAGGAAGGCAAGAGGTTTGTGTGACATTTTCAACCTAACTGTATGCTATTTACAAAGCTAGCTCTCTCGGAGTATTAATAAGTGGACTGATTCCTGTGCACTGCAATGTTACAATACATATCAGTTTCAGAAACATGTGACTGCTCTAATAGTAATGTGGCAGTATGTTGTCCTAACTTAAGGTTATCTGGAGATAGCATGGCAGCACTGATGGTGTATTTGACAGTGCTCTATAATCCTTTTGGAAGAAATTTGGTGTCAATATTAACGTTCCACAATATGCATGCAGACACAAACCATAAATCTAAAATGACCCAAACTGGTCATTTTGGCATTTAGCAGTTAACTACAAGAATTTGGGCGAATTGCACTTTAATCATACACTGTTTTTCTTCTCTCTCCTGTTATTAGGACTCATGTTTGTGATCCTATATTAATTAAGCTCTCCACTAAAAGCATTCCAACCAGTATATTGGTGGGCTGGTGTCTGTAACTGAAGTCACAGCAACGAAAGAAGGATCTGTTTGAAGTGGAGAATGAATGAGTGGAGCAATGTAACAATAGATTCCACAAACTTGAGACTAATGCAAAAGCCATGGATGCTGGAAATCTGAAATAGAAACAGAAAATGCTAGAAATGCTCAGCAGGTCAGACAGCATCTGTAGAGAGAGAAACAGAGCTGATGTTTGAGATTGGTGACTTTTCATCCAAAACTGTTGGGGTTGTTTATTAACTTTACGCATATTATAATTTGCAGGTGGAGTTGCCTGTGTTTATACAGGGCAACCTTTCGATACTGTAAAAGTCAAGATGCAGACCTTTCCTAACATGTACACAAATGTGTTAGACTGTGCTGTGAAGACATATAAAGAACGTGGCATTCGGGGATTCTACCAAGGCACAACTCCTGCCCTAATGGCTCATATATCAGAGAATGCTGTGCTGTTCCTGTCGTATGGGTTTTGCCAAAGAGTAGTGAGAAGTCTATCTGGACTGGACAGCAAAGCTGAGCTCAGGTGATGGTCACTTTGTTCATATTTGAAGAATTTTAGATCTGGATTCACTTGAAATGAAACTAGACTGCAGCAAGTCAGAAGAGAAAACAGAGGCATGGTGTTGATTTAAATATTGATTTTCTGTTTTTATTCATTCATGGGATGAGGGCGTTGCTGGCTAGGCAGCATTTATTGCCCATCTCTAATTGTCCAGAGGGCAGTTCAGAGTCAACCAGATTGCTGTGGGTCTGGAGTCTCATGTAGGCCAGACCAGGTAAGGATTGCAGTTTCATTCCCTAAAGGACATTAGTGAACCAGATGGGTTTTTCTGACAATCGCCAATGGATTCGTGATCATCATTAGATTCTTAATTTCAGATATTTTATTGAAATCAAATTCCACCATCTGCTGTGGCAGGAGTCGAACCTGGGTCTACAGAACGTTATCTGGGTCTGTAGATTAACAGTACAGTGATAATACCACTAGGCTATCGCTTCCTCAAATTCCATGAGAATTACTTATAAGATCAGAAGATATGCTCTGCCACACTGCATAATGGTGCAGTTGGTTTTCAACTGTATTTTCAGTCTCCCTTTTGTCATTTCTGATGGTCTACTAAGTAGAGCTAACTTTGGACACCTAGAGTACTAAAGTATTTAGTTATACACTTACTGAGTGTGCTGAAGGTAGTCCGAAGCAATACGCTGGAGGGCAACTTTCCTGTTGGCCCTCTTCAGCGAAAGAGCTGTGCAGCTCCAGCAGGCCAGGAGTAAGCCATTACTGCTAATTGCCCTCCAATCAAGTTAAAATAAATCAAGCAAAGTTCAAGTTGAGGACTTCAGACATTGCCATTAAAGAAAATATTTTTCTTTATCTGTCCATGGGATGCTGGCTAAGCAAGCATTTGTTGCCTGTACCTAATTACTCTTGAAAAGGGGATGGTGAATTATATTCTTAAACTGTGACAGTTCAGGTTATGTAGGTATACCTGTAGTGCTGTCAAGAAGGGAGTTCCAGCATTTTGACGATGAGTGTGAAAGAACTAAGATTTAGTTTCAAGCTCAGATGGTGTGTCGCTTGGAGGGGAATTTTGAGTTTACATGCATCATCTCCCTTTTCCTTTAGAAGTGGTAGAAATCTGAAATGATTCCTGAAGATTGGAAGATAGCAAATGTCATCCCACTATTTAAGAAAGGGAGTGAGAAATCAGGGAAATATAGACCTTGTAAGGAAGACGCTAAGAACCTGTTATAAAGGATATAATAAATACACTTAGATAACAATGAACTGATTGAGCATAATCAGTGCAGATTTGTGAATGGGAAATTATGTTTCAGAAGTTTATTCGAGTTTTTAAAAAATATTGCAAACAAAATTGAGAAGAGATCTGATGGACTTAGTATACTTGAATTTTCAGAAAATCTTTGATGAAGTCCTCCACAGAAGGCTGGCTCAAAATATTAAAGCATATGGGATAGGAGGTAATGTTTAATAATTGGCGGACAAACAGAGTAGGAATAAATGGATAATTAGTACATTGCCATTTGTGATTCATTGGGTACCACAAGGATCAGACTTCAGGATCCCAGCTGTCACAATATGTGTCAATAATTGGGCTAATTGGGAATGTGTTGGAAGGAGGATACAACATAGAGTGAGGAGAATTTGGACAGGCTTGGTGAATGGGCAAGATTATGGAAAATGAAATGTAAGATGGAAAAATGATGGTTTATCCACTATGCAGAGTATTTCTTAAATAGTAAGAAATTAGAAAGTGTAGGTATACAAAGGGACCTAGGCGTCCTTGTCAATAAGTCAGCGAAGGCTAACATGTAAATGCCACGTTAGGGAGGCTAATGGAATGTTTGCCTTTATTGCAAGAGGATTTGAGTACAGGTATTGTGAAGTCTTATTATCAATTGTGTAGGACCTTGGTTAGACCAACCTGGAGTAATGCCTGCAGTTTTGGTCTGCTTATCTTAGGAAAGATATTATTGTCATAGAGGGAATGCAACAAAGGTTTACCATGCTTGTTCCTGGGATGCTGAAGATGTCCTATGGAGAGAGATTGGGCAAGTGGGGCCTGTATTTTCTAGAGTTTTGAAGATTGAACGGTAATCTCATTGAAACCTACAGAATACTTAAAAGAACAATGTGGATAAGATGTTTGTCCTGGCTGGGGAGTCCAGCACCAGGGGGCACAATTTCAAAAGAAGAAGGATGCCACTTTGGTCTAAAATGAGGAGAATCGTTTTGCTCAGAGTTGTGAACCTCTGGAATTCTTTCTCACACAGAGCTGTAGAAGCTCAGTTTTTGAGTACATTTAAAGTAAATTTTGGCAGATTACTAGTGATGTACAGGATAACGGGTATGGAATGGGTAAAAGTGTTCGATTAGCTATGATCATATTGAATGGTGGGGCATTTGCTGTATGGCCTACATCTGTCCCTATGTTCTGAAGTCACGAGTTTGGAAGGAGCTAACAAAGGACCGTCAATGAGTTGTGGCAGTGCATCCTTTACATTGTACACTCTGCTGTTTAAAGTGGTGGATGGAATGCCAGTCAAGTGGGTTGCTTTGTCCTGGATGCTGTCAAGATTCTTGAGTGTCGGAGCTACACTTATCCAGTGAGGAATATTAAATCACACTACCGAATTGTGCCTTGTACGTGATGGACAGACTTTGGGAAGTCAGATCATGAGTTATTCAGTGTAGAATTCCCACCTCTGACCAGCTCTTGTAGCCGCAGTACTTATCTGGCTAGTCCAGTTATGTTTCTGGTCACTGGTAACCCCAAAAAATGTTGTTAGTGGGGCATTCAGTGATGGTAATCCCATTGAATATCAAGGGGTGAGAGTTAGATTCTCTTTATTAGTCTGGTCATTGGCTGACACTGATATGGCACGAATGTTACTACAGATATTTCAGACATATGTATCTCAAATTTTTAATTGTGAGAAAAATGTGGGAATGATATTATTTTTAGTCACATGTATGATGAATGCTTAGCTTTTCTGTGTTGCTGCTTTGTTGCTTTTGGGGTTTTTTTTTGCCCCTAACATCAACAGTCAAATGCCAACTGCTCAATCACTTGCTTGTCAGGACAAGAAGACATCCACACTCGTGAGCTGACGATTTTTTCTGGATTGATCACTTCAAACTCTAACACATGAAAATCATATAGATTCAAAATGCAATCATACAAATTAATGTATACTAGCTTCAGAGTTTATGGCTGATGAACTACGATTTATTTTGTGATAAACTTGCAATTGTGTTTTTTTTCTTCCATCCCTTTGCTATGAAATTTTTTCTGATCTTCATGACGCACAACCCATTTGAAAAAATGAGGGTCCAAGACAAAAGTCAGTAACCAAGGGACATAGATTAAAATAATTGGATAGATTAGAGGGGAATTGAAAAATGATTTTTTACACTGGATGATGGGAATGTGGAACTCGCTGCTTTTTCAACCGGCACCGATCAATGGGCCAATTATCTGCAAATTTCTATAACAAAGGCCTTAATTAATCCTACATGTCCAAATTTTGAGATATGTAATTTGCTAATTTAATATTTCTGTAAAAAAGACATCTTGCTCTTGATACTTATCTGTCATGTATAAAAGAATGCAAATTTCATATCTTGGATAACTTTGCAAACTACTGAAAGTGTTTATAAGGGAATTTGTGTAAAATACGTTGTTGCATAGGTAAGTCTCAATCAAGTAATAATTGCTATGGTTTATAGTAATTCAAGCAAGCTATTTGCCTTGCACTCATCAGGACATTGACAAAAATCCCAATGTAAAGATAAACAACATTTTAGACTGTACGAGAAGAGAGTGCTGATTAATTAGATTGATGTGGAGGTGCCAGTGTTGGACTGGGGTGGACAAAATCAGAAGTCACACAACACCAGGTTATAAACCAACAGACGGGTGGCACGGTGGCTCAGTGGTTAGTACTACTGCCTTGCAGTGCCAGTGACCTGGGTTTGATTCCACCCTCGGGTGACTGTCTGTCTGTGTGGAGTTCGCACGCTTTCCCTGTGTCTGCGTGGGTTTCCTCCGGTTTCCTCCCACAGTCCAAAGATGTGCAGGCTAGGAAGATTGGCCATACTAAAATTGCCCATAGTGTTCAGGGCTGTGTAGATTAGGTGGGTTATATGGGGATAGGTCTGGGTGGGATACTCTGAGGGTTGGTGTGGACTTGTTGGGCCAGGTTCCACATTGTAGGGATTCTATGATTCTATGAGACTTATTTGAAATCACAAGCCTTTGCAGCAGCACTCTGAAAGCTTGTGATTTCAAATAAACCTGTTGGACTATAACCTGGTGTTATGTGACTTCTGATTAGATTGATGAAGTGGATTGTGATTTGTAAAGGTGTTATCATGTACAGTGCACCAGTTAAATGATGAGTAGTTGAGTGATACTCTTAGTTTCACCTGAAACAAAAACAGAAATTGTTGGAGAATCTCCACAGGTCAGGCAGCATCTGTAGAAGGAAAGCAGAGTTAATGTTTCAAGGCTAGTGACCATTCTTGGGAACCTACTTGAGTTTCTCCAGCAATTTCTGTTTCTGTTTCAGATTTCCTGCATCCGCAATTCTTTGTTTCATTTTAGCTAGCCTCACCTGTTGCTAAAATTGTTAGACTCCTTATTTTCTCAGGCTAATAAAAGATGGACTGGGCACTCTTCAGGACTGAAGGTATCAACCTTGCGAAGTAGCAACACAAATTGTGTTTGCCATTTATGGAGTGCTGCCATTAAACCAAAAAGATATTCTGCTTATCTCGTGCTTGAATAATGTGGTATGTAAATTTCAGTGTCAGTATGATGACAGGTATGCTGGTCATACAATCTGTCAGTCTTCAGTATGTCTCAGAGAGCATGTCCCTTCAGCTGATCACAATAGGCAAGGTAGTGACTGTACTCAACCAGCCTTTGCTTTGTAAAACCTTTGCACAGTGTCCAATGATGAACGTACATTTGGTAAATAATACTGATTGTGCTAAGAATTATGCTGACATCTAATTTAGGAAGATCAGTCAGGCTCACAATGTGGCACTGTGGTACATACTGGAAGCTACAAAGATTAGTACATTGGGCGCTGTTCTTTGTAGGCAGAACAGGTACAACTTTGCACCTGTCTTAGCTTAACAAAGTATGCAAAACTCAATCTCTGGTTCACTGGTCGAGACAATGTCCCAAGGAATTAGTCAACCTGCTGATTTAATTGTAAGCACTGCTTGCCAGTTAATTAGCAGGTCATCATTGAACTGGTGCATTCTCCACAGCAGTGCCTCTACCAATAAATTAGCACTCCCTTCTCAGACAGTACAACGTGTTGCTTCCACTTTATATTGCTACTTTTTATATATGTCCTGATGAGGCAAGATGAAAAGCCTTAACAAAATGTGTTTATTTCAGTAATGTTCAAATTCTTCTGTACCACTAAATAACATATAAAGGACAACTTTTTTTAGCAAAATGTATAAAATGTCAGCCATACTCTAAGGTTATGATGCTCACAAGAGTTTTTCATTAGTGAAAATCTTTTGAAGTCAAGCAATGGTCTTTAATGCTGACGATGAATTGTCATAGTGTGTTAAAGTGTTACAGATTTAAATGGACATGGTTCACTCCACTCAACACTGGAATGAAGGGCTTATCTTATGAAAAAATGCTTCAGAGCCAGGATTACATCCAGTGGAGTTTAGAAGAATGAGAAATAATCTTATTGAGTAATTATATGGATATCAGGAGGACAAATGGGAGACTAAAGCTAAGGGACGTAGTTTAAGAATAAAAGGTAATTTTTCAGACCAAGTTGAGATTTTTCTTTCCTCTGAGGGTTGTTAGTATGTGAAATTCTTTTTCTCAAAAGGTATTGGAGACTGGACTTTTCAATTTATTGTGGGTTGTGTTAAATGGATTTTTGAGTTATGGGGCAGACAGAAAAGTGGAGTTAAATCCACAAACAGATGAGCCATGATCATTATTAAATGGTGGGGCAGGCTCCCATGTCTTGTATTTCTAAGAAATATGAATATTGACTATCTGAAATAATTGTAGCAAATAAAGGGAGGAGGCTTCAGATCAAAGATTTATGTGTAAAGCTGATAAAATGTACAAATGATTGTAGACCCAGCAAATTTTGCTTTGTAACAAATTTGAGAGATGTAGATGTATCATTTAAATTTCATTTTGGGGGAGGGGATGGTTACTGAAACAATGCAGCTCTGAACATTTCTAGCTGCTGGAGAATTTTCCAATCTTCCTTTCAATATAAATGCATCTGTCATTTCAGTGATATACAGAAAGCAGCTTCTGGCTCATTTGCATCAGTATTTGCCTCATTGGCCATTTGTCCAACTGAGCTGGTCAAATGTCGACTCCAGGCAATGCATGAAATGAAATCTTCAGGAAAGCTAGCCAAAGGACATCCCAGGTATGTCCTTTTCTAAAAAAGTTGTTAATGTTTTAAAAAGTTGCTAATTCATTCTTTAAAATGCTACAGTTACATTATGGGGAAATCTTTCCTTTTTGATCTAGCTGAAAGTTGGACCAGGCGTATAGAAGTAGGAAGTCTACTCCAAAGGTCACACATCTCCACTTCCTGCTACCTCAAAATGAATGGGCAAATGTATCTGAGTTTGCTTGTCCTTGCCACTGTCTAGTAGATGGTGTAGTTCATGGAATATGTACAAGACCTACTTAGATTTAATTTTGTGGTTGAATATATTTCTTATTGAGAGCATTTCCTGTTGCTAGTCATATCTAGACTTTGGGAGGCGTGCATCTGTTAAGGCTTCAACATGATGTACCTTAGAATGAAAAGTTTGAAGCGTCCATCCTGTTAATTCACCCAATAATTAGATGATTTGAATAGGACTACCATATGAGCTTTGTGTAGGAGACACTTCTCAATGGCATCAGAAAACCAGGGAAAATGTGAGTGCCTGCAGTTTTAGCACCTCTTCCACTTCTATTGAGTGACTGTAGATTATCACAGGCAGAAACCTGAAAGGAAGTTTGGAGTTGGTGAGATGGAGAGTGAAAGGAGAAAAATAAATGCGAAGGATTGATTTACTTTCCAGTATATTCTCCACGTAGCCAGTGAGTAGATTTTTTTTTGTGCAGGCTTGCAGGAGCAGGGAATCCCTAAGTGGAATCTTTGCCCTCTTCCCACAGTGAGAAGGCATTTGAGTCTTTGCTTTGTAACTGAATACAATGAGATGTTGCAGATGACACATCGCAATATGTCTTATTTGGGCAATGGTTTGTGCCAGAACGAGGCCTAAAGGGGGTAGAGAGAGAGAGAGAAACATTTTTCTTTGTGTGGTCTCCTGCTGAGATTCTTTGTAGCATTCAAATCTAAGTTGGGTTGTTACCTTACAACTTATTATTCAGTAGCATTAGTCCTGCACTGGGTGCAAACCCATACAATGAGGATAATACCAAATTAAATTACTGACAGCCAGGACTCTGTACAATTGGGGGTAGATATCAGAAAACTGCAGGTGCTTGTTCACAGCTTTCCATCAATAATTTTAATGGAATAAAATTGGCACTTGCGTGCCAACATTACACACCACTGAAAGCGATTGCAAAACTAAATTGGAAAATTTTAGAATCGAAGGCTGATATTAGTAAAATAGTGCACCAAAAGTGGATTGTCAGTGTTCATTCTACACCACACTCTGTGGACCTCTTAAATCATTGGGGTTTGTGAGGAACTCTGCACGTATACTTGTATGTACCCATGTTGTACATCATATTGTGGTGAAACACAAACACCTTTGTATTGCTGTCTGCCTTCACTAGAACTAATGACTTCCAACCACAGATTGAGAAGATTCAGTTACTTCCAGAGATTAACAAATTTAGTAAGGATTGTACCTTTTTTGTACCATAACTAGCTGTGTACAATATTGTGGATTCTCCACATTGGAGGCTTTGTTTGAAAACGTTTTTGTGAAACATCCAAGAGGGTATCTTGACAAACATTTTATCAGCCATCAAAGCAGGAAGAATTCCTATCACCACAATACTTGCTGACACTTGAAGTTTTCAGCAGAAGCTGCAAATTGAAGAAATCTGTATAAGTATGATCTTGCTACAATTTGGAAAGGAATTTTTACTCCTCTCCTATATAAATAGCTGTCCAACATAGTTTTTCTTTTAAAGCTATTTCAGATTGAAAAAGTCAAGCTCCTAAAATATTAACCAATGCTGTGAGTCAATCTATTAAAATTCATATTAATGCTTGCAAACATTTGAAAGTGGTAGTTATCTTGAAAGTTGGCAACTTTTCAAATGTGCTTTAAAGCTACTATGTATTAGTGGTTTCATTTTGTTTAAAAAAAAAAGTGAGCTTTATATAATGAAGTGAACTTTGTGAACTTTTCACCAGTACAAGTAAATGTTCATTTTACTGTGGTATAATCTGAAGAGGGGTCACTGAACCCAAAATGTTAACTCTGATTTCTCTCCACAGATCCTGCCAGACCTGCTGAGATTTTCCAGCAATTTCTGTTTGAGTTCAGAGTCTCCTAGCTGAGGAAGACAAGATGATAAATTAAATGTTATATTGTAATGTAGTGATGGTGCCCCTATGTCTGGGCCAGATGGTCCAGATTCAAGAACCTCCAATCCCAGAGGTGTCTCATAACATATCTGAACAGGTTGGTTTAAAAAAAAAAATTAAATGAAATACTATGAATAAAGAGTCAACTATGGGAGCGCATTGATCTTCCTTCTCGGGGGTGCCTTAAATATAATTTGAGGCAAGAGCTCTGGGAGCTTGAATTAAACCACTATGTTATATATGTTTTCCTGTGTAACATTTTTTTAACAAAACTGCATGTGAATTCTGCAGTAGGTATCCATAACAGCAAACCATCAACCATATTCTAGCTAAATTCAATTTGTACATTTTTTTCTCCTTTTTTTAGCACAGTTTGGGCAGTGATTAAGAATGTTTTGAAAACTGATGGTCCTCTTGGCCTGTACCAAGGTCTGACGAGCACATTGATGAGGGAAATGCCTGGCTACTTTTTTTTCTTTGGTGGCTATGAACTCAGTCGCACCATTTTTACACGAGGAGGCCGGTCCAAAGATGATCTTGGTAAGTGCCTAAAGCAAGCTTTGGGTGGGTGTGTTTGTGTGAGTGGAGTTGTTTATTGCAAGAGATTAAAATTGCAAGCTACAAGCAGATTGAAACCAAAAAATGGTTGCTGTTCTTCTTAACTCTGTTTCTGTTGTAACAGGAATTTCAAAGTGACTGATTCACCAAATCAGTCATTATTTTTAAACCAAATTTTAACATTTATCCTAATAGTTTCCAATGTTGATTATGATCTTAAATTGCAAGGAGCACCACCATTCTTCTTTTGAATTCATTGTAGGATAAGTTCACCTTTTCAATAATGAAAATTGCAGGGGGCATATCCTTTTGATGTGTCTTGAAACAGTGGCTTGAAGAGGTTCATAGATATTACTAGACTGGCAAGTCCATGTAATAGGTTAGTGGGTATTAGTTTGTCAGATAGACTTCCATTGACCTAGAAAGAGGCTAATGCTAAAGATTGCTTTACAGATTTCTTTTGTTTTAAAACCAAGGGCTTTTTTTTTTTAAAAATGTGGAACCAAATTTGATTTATCACTAATTCAGGGCCAATGTGCTGCTGCTGCGTTTTCTACAATGAATACTCTTGGATCAGGTACTGTTTTCAGAAGTGACGACCTTGCCTCAACATTTAGTGATAATATATACACTAACAGCCACTTCCCTGCTGTATCCTCACAGCACAAAGATTTCCTTTTTCAGTTGAGTGTTCCAACGTTAGACCTTTGGTGGAATAGTCTAAGAGGAAGCTCCCATGTTTTTGTTCCAGGACTGTAGAGCCCAATGTCCTTGGCAAGTGCTTCGTCTCACAGCATTACCAGTTTCTGTATGTATTCCCTCCATTTCCACTCTTTTCCAGAATCCTGCGGAAAGTATAGGCAGATAAATCGCAAATAATCAAACAACAGACTTAAGAGTGTAGAAAACCAAGTTGTTGGCTTTTATGAAAGTGAGGGGGTTTTTGCCCTACCCACCACACCTTCAGAGACCAACATCTAATTTAGCAGGAGCTTATTCTGGCCACAGAAAGAAACTGACCATTTAAAACTAATTTGAAGTTTAAGCTTATGACACATGATACTAAGTTTCAGATGTGCTACAGATCCTTGCAGTAGCTATAACCAATCTTCACGTATATTGAAAGTTGAGCTTTATCAGTGTTGCACTTTAGAGACACAGTTGAATTGAAGTGCTTACACAAGATTGCTGCACTGAAAAATATGCTTCTTTGTTCACTTAATCATAGGGCTCAGAAGAGCATTATTTAATATTTGTATTTTCAGCAATTACTTTCCCACATGATATCTATGGTCACTCTCTACAGCTACTTCTCTTCCCTTATTTCCAGATCCAAAAACCTGATCTAACTTCCTTTACTGTCAGATTCTTTCCTTCTACAATCCACAGAAACTGGGAAATGTAACCATCCTTTTTGTGCCTTCGTGGTTTTCTCGCACTTCTTTTCCCTCCAGTTTATGCTAACATTTCTTTTTCCACCGTGCACCCCCCCCCCCAACAAAAATCTGCCCCATGTTTGTGGAAACCCTATTCCTTGCCACTCCTTCTACTCAACTCAAAAACCACTGCTTGCAGTCTCTGCCTTGAAAATTGGAAAATGGTTATTTTGGCTGTTCTGCATTGTACATGAGAATTCTTTTCCTCAGAATTACCCAAAACAATATGGAGGGATAAGGATTTGGTATGTGCAGAGTTTTTGTCAGAACCTCTTGGCATGGACTATAGCTATGCTGACTTTCAGCTTGCACAGTTTTGTAATGCTTTTATTTCAACTAAAAAGAGATCAAATATCAAATGTAATTCTAACTGAGTCAAACTTTTCAATAGCAAAGACTTTCTCCTTAAGTAGCTAATATCATAACAATGTATTCACAAAGCCTGAACCTGAAGAAATTTGTTCTTTAATATGGGGATTAAAAAAAAACAATGAAAAGGTGCACATTGATTTTGTGCAGCAATAGAGAATTGGTTTCAAATAAATACAGATGTAAAATGACTTGCTACGTTGTTAGTGTCAGTGGAAGTGCAGATTTACCCCACTGAACCACCCAGTGAATTATGAAGTGAGGAAAAAAAAATTAACAATTTGGCCTATTACTATTATTTCTATATAGTTTAGATTATTATTTGTCTGTCTATTTCTAAATGCCCTCAAATGTTGGTATCCTCTGGAACCATCAGCATACAGACAGTTGTAATAGCACCAGTTTAGTAATTAAAAGCAAATCTAATGGTGGCAACTCAACCATAATTCATTATGATAAAAACCAAAAGAACTGCAGATGCTGTAAATCAAGAACAAAAACAAAAACATCTATCCTATCATTTACTCCCTACCCCACCCACCTCCCTTTTTTCTGCATATAAACTGACATTTTCCCAGCCACCATCAGTTCTGAGGAAGGGTCACTGGACCCGAAACGTTAACTGTTTTGTCCTTCACAGATGCTGCCAGACCTGCTGAGCTTTTCCAGCAACTTTGTTTTTAATTCATTATGATAATTATTTTTAGGAGAAGTCTACTAGACATGGCCTGGTCTGGACTACATGTGACTTCAGGCTCTCAGCTACGTGGTTAACTCTTAAATGCTCTGAGTGACCAAACAAGCCACTTTTGTCTTTTAAAAAAAGTTAAGACAAAATTCTACGTAGTGTGTATTTTTTGTTCAAAGGACATAAACATCACTGCAACTGCCCTTGAGATAGTTTGTCAGCATTATCTCCTTGAACCTCTTAGTCCATTTGGAGTTGGTGCAGCCACTGGTGTTAGGAGGGAAAATTAGGTCTTCTGAAGGAGGTGGGCAACCAAGCTAAAACATTCTTTTCTGTACTATTCTTGATTTTCTTTTCTTTCATGTAATCTAACCTGCAATTAACTAGTGAGCTGGATTCATCACCTTAGCTAAGGCCTCCATGGCATTATGTAGCTGTACAACTCTGACACAGCAGTAGCCATAAATTGGGAAATTTTGATCATCCTTTGCACGCGTGCGCACACACACACACACCTCAACCAAGACGAGGGTGCATATGATTCAAACATAGAAAACTTTTCTATGAGAACATATCAGAAGCTGAGTAGACGGGAACTTACCAAGACTCTGGTAAGTAGTGACTATTTTGTACAGTGTTGGCAGGCACCTGCTTTCCCACTAAAGAAAGTGCCTAGAGTCATTGTGGTAGGCTAAAGACCTGTAATTGGCTCCCTTTTCATTTGTATTCTTTAAAAATTGCTATAATTTTAGTTTGGGGATCATGGCTATAATCCTAATCTGGGCTGTGAAAAGGGGAGGTCCACTTATTACAGTTGGCAGTCCCTTTAGAGGGCTTGGGATCTAGGAACTCTGATAATAGAGAGTCCATTTGACCGCTTTTTGGCTGGTAGTTTGAGTCCCTATCCCAATCCAGGGATCAGGAGTTCATACCTTTAAATCTTGCCCAGTGATTCTGGAGCTAAAAACTCCGAAATGCATTTACATAAATTTCTTGGGTTCCTGTCAAACTAGAATTGTCCTTTTTAGAACAAAAAAAAAAGTGTTGGTGGATAGAGTTGAAGATAGCCCAATTCTGAAAATGATCCAACTCATATTTATACAAGGACCAATAATCTTCCACTTCTCTTCTGTAAGGCACGATGACAATGTACTGTGTGATCTGACAAACGACTGCATTGAATATGTACCCTTCTTTTTCCAAGTTTGTGGGGTGGGTGGAATAAAAAAACAATACATATCAATTAGTGCTTTGTGCAAGCTGCAAATGGAAGGGCCATGTCAATTTTAACAACTGAAGAAAGAGCTATATAAATGTTAATATTTTCTTGTGTATTGGATGCTTTTAACTGGTAAAGTAGCCAATTAGAGTTGAAATTACCTCCATAAAAAGGCCAAAAGGGATGACTTTCACAATTTCTAGGAAGAATTTTGTTTAGGATAATAGTCAAGAGTGATGGCTTGGTTTACACAAGCTGCAGATGCAAAATACTATCTGCACTAACAAACTCTGGTCTTTGTACCCTTTTATCATTGTAGGATTTAAATTTCTCCCATTGGGGTTGAGGTATATTCAATCACCAAATCCTGCTGTGTATTTTCACTGGTCACATATTTTCAGTCAAGGCAGTAAGTGAGCAAGCAGATTCTAGCACTGAGCAGACACCAATGCTATTGCCTAAAGTATATTACCTGAAGTATACAAGGCATGTTTTTCCAAAGGTAGACTGCATTAAGCTTAGGCACAACTGTGGCCAGCTGCAAACTGTTGTAATCCACCAGCGGTATGGCAGACGAGTTGGAGGATTAACAGCTGGTGGGAGTAAAAAAACTAGTAACCCAACAAAATACATTTTTGTACAAAATCACACTAGTCAATAACTAATTAGGCAACTATTGAAGGGAGTAAAGAGCAGGGAAGCTTAAAGGAGATAGGAACGTGTACTGCTGTTCATTTTCCCAATGACTGTTATCCTATTTGTAATTTTTATTCAATTAATAAAATCCAACACCTTCAATCTTTGTTTTATAAAGTTAGAAAGTGTTGTGGAACCCCTTCAGACTAAAGGAAATCTAGGAGAAAAATCTACTCATTACTCTTGCACATTGGCAGAATGTAATGAAGTCTAATGCAGCAAAGTATGTACTTTGAGAAGAAGGAAAGGCTATCTTTAAAAAGCTAGTTGCAAAACAGGATATAGAAGCAGAAGGACCAGGGTACATGTGCACAAATTGAAGGTGGCAGGGTAAGTTGGTAAGATGGCTAAAACTGTGAATTTATAAAGCCTATATAAAAGGGAGGCAGAGAGTACAAAAGCAACAAACTTGTGATTTTTTTTTTGAAACAAAGCTTAGCCTGAGGTAGAGTAGTGTGTCCAATTAGGAAAGCTAACAACTAATTGAACACAAAAGTAGGGAGGTTATGCTTCATTCAGACATAGCAGTGGGGAGACTGAAACAGAATACAATGTGAAGTATTGATCATCTTATCTAAAAAGAAAGGGTTAAATACGTTGAGGCAATTTTAGAAGAGGTTTACCAGACCAATAGGACGATGCCCCCTCACTGCATTTATGAGGAAAGATTGGTCAGACTAGGCTTGTATCTGTTGGAAGTGCGAGTAAGAGATTGAAATGAGATCCTGAACAGACATGACAGGGTTGTAGAAAGGATAGTCTTGTGAAAATCTTGAAGTGGTGGTCATATTTCTTAAAAAAACAAAACAAAAATTGCTGCTTTTCAAAAAGGAGGAAGCGAAATTTGAGGGTGATTAATCTTTGAAAAAGGTGGTGGGAGCAGAGTCTAAATATTTTTAAGGCAGAAGCAGGTAGAACCTCGAGCAGGGGGTGAATGATTAAATCAGGGTGGTGGGAGAATGTAAAAATTGTAACCTCAAATCAGATCAGCTATATTTAATGGCAGAGCACACAAATCTTGGCATCATACTTCAGGTATTGTGTGTAGATGTGAGAGGCTGCAGAAGACGACAAGTCTGGTTTCAAAACAAGGAACTTCAGTTAAATGGGATAGTTCAGAGAACCTAGGCGTGTTTTCTTTAGGGATTTTGTTCATAATCACGAGGGATCTGGAGAGACTAGGCCCTGGTAACAGAATTGAGAGGGGGAAGCTTCTACGCAGTTAGTGGTTTGAATCTTGAATGCACTGCCCAAAGGAATTATTCAATTCTCTCCAGAACCTCTAATTTTCTAAAGAGATGGAAAAGTGCAAATAGGTGAATTGCTGTTTGACCATGGGCACAAAATCGGTCAAATGATCATCCGTAACCATTCTATAATTGGGATTCGTTGAATTCATAGGGTGTGAGAAAATTTAGGGCCAGCATTCTCTACCTGTTCCTAGCTATGCAGAGAAACTGATAGCAGGCAGCCCACTATGGAATAATTCACCAGCTTATCAATCCCTTTTCAGAAAGTACTATGCCACTTGTGCAGTTGCATGTACACTAATTTATCAAAAGGTGCAAATACAGTTGAGAAATTCCGTAATGTTAATTTGAGGTTGGTTGGCTTGCCGAGCTGGTTTGTCGTTCTGCAAAACAAACCAGCTCGGCGAGCCAACTAACCTCAACATCCACAACCCAAGCTACAGATCTACTCCAAAACCTTAGATAATGTTAATTTGGATCAATTTGCATAAAATTTCCAAGGTGTAAAAATTGTACTAATAATCAGCATAGTGAAATTCTTAACATGAATGAAGATTTGATTTGATGATGCTACAAGTTAACTGGCTCTAATTCTGTTTCATAAAAGGTCCTATTCCCTTGATGGTGAGTGGTGGTTTTGGAGGTGCCTGTTTGTGGATTGCTGTTTATCCAATCGACTGTGTAAAATCTCGTATACAGGTCCTCTCAATGGCAGGCCAGCAGGCTGGTTTCTTTAGTACTTTCAGAAATATTTTCATGAAGGAAGGTAAGATGGGTCTTGCTAATAAAAAACATATCTGGTTAATATTCACCCTTTCCCTCCGATTTATTATTCCATTGCTAAATGACAGATAGGAACAGCCAATTGCATGTGCAAAACAGATTTAATACAAAAAAAAATTGTGCAGAATAGGAGTTTCCTACTGGGCAGAGAATCTTAATAGTGTAGTTTAAAATTAATACTACCACCTCCCCCCCCCCCCCAAACTGTCAGAGGTCACAGTCAATCCATGGTATTCAGAATTGTAGAACTAGCAATGTTGGAAAGGATAAAGCATGATGGAGACAGAGAGACAGCTGTGGGGGTGATGCATCTCTAGGCAAACATCTTTAACTGACACTAACAAGTTATGGTGGCCTAATTCTACTTCTGTAGAAAGGGAATCTCTTGTCCCTATAAAATTGTACCCACCCAGTAGTTTGTTACAGCTGTTTGTAACAAACAAAACTTGGAACCTAGCCTGTTGCATACTTTGTGCAGATCTTAGACAACCAACAGGACAAGTTTTCAAATGGCTCTACTATTAAACCTTTCACCTATCCATAATGTATTATACAGACTAGAATAAAATGTGCTAGTTTTCCCCCTCTGACAAATATTGGATTATCAGAATTATGAAAAAAAGTGCCCACCACAGTCAGATGAGTGAAGTGCATGTTAATAATAAAACCGTCAAGTCATTTTGGAATACTAGTTAAGTATGATTCAGATATGCAGAAACTTGTAAATGATTCATCTGCAAAAACATTAGACTACTGTACAAATGCACAATCTTGCATAACAGCATTGCATCATGGGGAAAGTGCAAACAAAGGCAGTCACTGCATAAATATTTTAAGAGGCAAGAGAGTTCAAGACCAACTTGAGAATCTAGAAATCTTCTGAAAATTGAGGTTTTTTACCCCCCAAGTGCATACATATAAAACTAGAATCACAAATTGAAAGGGTGAAAAATGTACAAATGGCTGCTGAGGCAAACTGTCAGTCAGTCATACTGGAAATGTGAGGAAAAAAAAAGTTGAAGAGTCAGCAATTGCATAGCCATGAGGGAGATCTCATTCTACTACCTTGCTGAGCAAGCTCCTAGGATTAGCACTATTTTTTTTTTTTAAAATCTACAACGTTGCCATTGTTACATCCTTTTGAGTGGTTGTATCCTCAGTTAAATTGACTGGGTTATCAGAAACAAAGTAATAACTTGCAAAGATGGAGGCAAGTTTGATTTTTACATCAGCATCAATAAGATGCTTAAACTAGATTTCAGAACTATTATAGTTAGGAGATATAGTGCAGATCAGGATTTAGACAACCAGCAGATTAAAATGACTGTAGTCCATCCTATTTCTGGCAAAGCCGTGTTTGAACGTTATACATACACTTTGAGCTGGGCATAGTTTCATTTTGGAATAGAAAAATCAAGGGCAAGACATGCTTCAGAAAATGCTGAATTAAAAACTACTTTGATGCATGCATCCTTAAAAAAAAAAGCATTTGCTGGATCAACACCCAAACCAGATTATCTGGTCACTTTTGGTCATGGATTGTGATATCTTGCTTATTCTCCTACATTACAATAGTGCCTACATTTTGGTTGCAATTAGCCTTGTGAAAGCACTTTGGAGGGGCACTAGTTAAATTCCAAACAGATTGGAATTTATAGCAGTTATTCCAACATAAGCTTTGTATATATTTTGTCTCCAGCTTGCTAAGTGTGAATCTGGCACAAATAGAAAATCGAAAATTAGCATCTATGCTCAGTTTAGCAATTCAATTTCAGACTGGTAAATCCATTTGGTTAAGTAGGAGAATTTTGAAAAAAAATTAGAGTTAATGCTGTATGAGAAAGAAACTTGCTGTACTGTGAATAGTGCATATATCCACTTATTTCTATGCTTCAACATTGAAATGGTTCTAACATTTCATTTTCATTTCCATACAGGCTTGAAAGCAATATACTCTGGATTAACACCAACAATGATACGTGCATTTCCTGCCAATGGTGCATTATTTTTGGCCTATGAACTGAGTAGAAAAGCTATGATGGATTACATGAGTGACTGATGTGTACTCTAAAAATGATTGAAGCCTTACTCCCAAGAATTTGATTATGCTGCAAAAAGTCAATTTAGGACTAGCTGAAAATGTAAAACTGGATATTTTGATACTGTACATGGTAGGGTGCTTATTAGGTGCAAAAATTTTGTGGGTCTTTCAAAAGTAGCTTAAGTTAATTTAACTATCAAGCAATATTAACTTAATTATTGCTAAAATTGTAATGTATTCTTAAATTCAAAATGGTGTTCTAAGTTTCCAGGAAAATAAATCAACATCTATAACTTTTGCAACATTGAATTTGCATACTGAACTTTAAAGCTGCATCCTTTTTTTTAAAAAAAGAGAAGTCAGCTAAAGGCATCTGACATTCCATTTCTGCTTGATCTGTGATATTGGGAAAGTGGTGCTGACTTCTTTCTTTTTAAAAGGGGAATAAGGGGAGAGAGTAGATAAGCAAAGCATCTACTTCTAACAACTAGCCAAGTGACCTTTCCTCCTTGCCCTACTGTCAGGAGTGTGTGCCATTTAAAGCAGAATAAAACAAATGCTTTTAGGGCCTGGTGTATGTTATACTATTTTTAAAAACGGGGCTCCAATGGCATTAATATTTGTAGACCTAAGGGGATATTAGATGCATATTGGCGTTTCCACTGCAAAGCTCTTGTGCAGTTATTACAAGCATGATGCTTTATATTTTAAAAAAACACAACTATGTCACTTCATTTCAAAAAAAGTGCACATACCTATTGTACTTGTCCTACTTCCCAAATGTTGCATCTACTTATATGTAGGAAAAGAGCAGGAACTGGATCCTTTTACCCTTCTGTAAACATTATCAAGTTACAGTATCACAAGTCAATTCTATTCACAGGAAAATGTCAAACATTATTTGCTACTAGTAACAATGGCTAGGAGGAATCCCAAAAGTAGGAAGTCAGTATTTTACTATTTATTGAAGAAAGTTTCAAGAACTCTACACAAATGGATTCGGTGATAGACGCATTTGATAACTACTGACATTTAATAGTTAAACAAACATCACTAAATATGTAGTTCAAGTATGTGTGGTAATATTCAAGTTTCATATCAAAACATGAAGTGTGCACAAATTCAACTGGAAGTGATCTAGGCTTAAGGTTTTGTAACATACAGAAAAGCCACTTCATTTTAAGCAGATATGAACAGTCAGATCACTTAACTATCAATAGGATAATTACATTAATGCCTGTGCTGTACAAGTCTCTTTTGCTCCCTTCCCTCCGACAGTGCAGTGCTATTTGTGGTTGGAGCCTTTCATCTGAAGAACACAAGTATCTAAGTGTTTCAGTGGCACAATTCAATACTGCACAACTATGTTTCAATACATTATCAGGCTACTGAAATATCACTGAAAGGACAAATCATTTCAACAAATCATAGAATGTCGAAGTAGGGAGTGCAGGGGGATGGCTTTTATTAGCCCTGACATCACATTGCTGATAGCTTATGTCTCTTCTGGGAAAAAAATGCCACTGAACAGTTTTTATGAAGTAAAAAATATCAAAACTAATCCAGTCCTGGGGTAACTGATAATCACACCCTCTTTCCGATGAGGTAAAGACAACACTGGCAACTCTTCAAGGAAAAATGGGCTGGAAAGGGGTTGTGGTGAAGAGGAGGGTGGCCTGCAGCACCAGAATAATGACTATTTATGACCATTTTCCAACAGTTTTTCCTTTAGTTACAAAAAGTCTGAAGTACTTAACATGAATATCTTGCAGCAAGTAGAAGTTCCCACATATTTTCCCCCCATTGAAGGCAGTACCAGACTCCCAGTACAATATTTACATTATAAACTGCCTGGAATCATTCTATACCCATTCTCTTCCTGAGGTGGCATTAGCTTAACTGGAATCAGGATCATCAAAATTCACCTCCACTGCAAATTTTTCGCTGTAGATTTTCCAGGTTTTTGGTTTGTGTGGGTTGTCAAGTTCATCTCTAGACAAGTAGAGCCTAGACAAATTTGAAAAGAAAAACCATTTCAGAAAAAGAAAAAAATTACTAATTTACATTAGCTACTAATGTCAAAACTCTGGAGACCATAAAAAGTGGAAACAGGAAATAGTTGTCTGATGTAGATTAGCTGCAATGTAAATCTAATATCAACTCAAAAAGTGCTCACAATTTGATTTTTTTTGATACAAGTTCAGACTTTTTCTTAAGAATCTGGAAAAAAAAAAGTGATCCAGTGGTTGGCAATTCTGAAAAGGGTGATTTCAGAATCTCATTGGACAATTGGTAAAGATGTACTTAAAAGTTGTAAGATAGGGACAACACAAACGTAACTTTTCCAACTTAAATTGTCCTTTACCTGTCTGAAGAAGTCAGCTGACACCTGTATTTTAATAAAACAGTAGTAATCTCAAATTCAAACCAATAGCAACTCACCTATCAAAATCAACACCACAGAACAGATTATTGCACACCTGTACTATGATCACGATTTCACTTTTGCATCCAATATTGTAGCTAAAGTCCCCCACCACATGAAATTTGGGTTGGAATATTGTAGCAAAAGTGGCCTGAGGCTTGATTTCAGGTATGTGTAGTCCAAGATAGAGTAGATTATGAAGACAGACACAGTCATATGACAATTGGGTGAAGTTTTTGCAATCTTTCCTCCTTCAGTGTACCAAGATGTCAATGTAGTTCAGTTTCTTTATTTCTCTTCCCATTTCACCTCACTCTCAAACCCACTTGTAAGTTGGAGGAAACCAGGTACCAATGGACAAAAGACTTTAAATAAAACACCACTAGATTATTTGAAGGCTATACAAAGTCTTCTCAAAACACCACTATCTTTTAGCTAAATAAGAGGATTGTTGAGTGCAAATGTCTTTCTGTCCAGCATAATCATGGATAAGAATTCTAAAAACATCAAGCCTGTTATCTGGTAAAGAAATTTCAAGTGATTTAACTAGGATACATGACCAAGTATAAACCATTGCATACTGGATCTAAATGAGGCAATAGTTAATGTGTTGGTCTTTTGCCTCCTTCAACAGATTCTTAAAACTATTCTTAAAACTAATTCAACTGTACCTATTATTTACAATGAAAGATGTGTTGAACCAGAAGTAGAATGGACAGTCATCATAACCTTTAGGAAGGCCCTGGATAGAAATAAAAAAATTAAAGAATTGTTTAAGCAATTATGATGCATTTATTTTTTAAGTAAAAAAAAAAAGAGTAGAGATACTTACCCCACTAGACTCAAATCTGACTTTCACATCACCGCTCACTTCAGGACCATTCTCCAAGCTAATTATAGCAGAGTTACTCCCAGCATCAAAAAATAGCTGTACAAATAAATTTTATAATGTAACTAGAGAAAGTAGTTACCAAATGCATTCATAACTTTTAAAAAATGAAATACAAAAAAAAGGTGCTAAACATTGAAAACTGATAACAATTTGCAATAGTAGGCTTTCCTCATATAAAATCTAGAGATATTTAATTAATCTTCAGATGGTGCAGAACAGCACAGGTAGGCAGACAGGAGTCAGAGGTAAATATGCATACATTGACACACACCCATTGGAGTGACAGGAATAAGTGGTGGCCTATAGCTGACAAGTGAACAAAAAACAATTGAACATACAAAATGCAACAAAAAAAAAAAATGCAAGATGATCTTGGATGATATTCTTTAAACTATTTTGCTGTGGTTTTGATGCATTTGAAACAAAAGCAGCCATTTTAGGGAAAGCTCTGCAGAAATTCAAAACCAAAAAATCTCATCATACTGGATACAAGTCAGGCCACCGTGTGCATAACAAGCCCTTCAGAGGGAGCTCTTCTCATCTTTTTTCTTCCATACGGTGCCTTACTTTCAGGAACGGCATCTTAAAATTATGCCCATTCATCCAATCTTCTCAACAAGCCCTTTCCTCCTGTTCCATGGGTTACAGACGTTATGAAATAAATCATCCTGCAGTCATTTTTTTTTTTTTTTTAAGAAGCTTTGTGGTTCTGCAGGCATTGTTGGCTGGAGCAGCAGTTACTTTCTTCAACTACTGCAGTCTATTGTGCTGTTAGAGCGAGTTTGTTACAGCTTTCTCCTCCCTCTGCTGTGTAATTGTTAAGTTTTCTGATCCTTACTTGTCTCCATTCCTCTGGCAGACTGAAGTTTTAACATGAATCCCAAATCTGCACATTAAAAACTTGAATGAGGAACTTCATTGAAAAGCTGAATACTTCTTTCTTCCCTTTAACGCAATAGGCACTACAAAAATTTAGGAACTTTCCACCTTCTAAATTTCAAATGCTTCTGAACTTGTAAATGAGCTCAGACTCGGAGATGTTCAAGCTGGAAGCCACGACTGTCACTTTCGCTTATAGACCTAGGAAACAGGAGTAGTAGACCATTCTGCCCATCAAGCCTGCTCCATTAAAGGGGATCATCGATCCGAGGATTTAAAATTGCACATTCCCATCTATCCCCAACCTTCCATTCCTTTGCTGAACAATGTGTCCCTCTATCAAAAAATATTTAATGACTTACCTCCACTATCTTGAGGCAGAATTCCAAAGTTACACACAGTCTTTTTTTAAATACCTCCAAGTTTGAAACACTGCCTTGTAGTTTTGGATTCACTCAAAAGAAGAAACATCCTTTCCATGTCCAACTTGTCAAAACCATTCAGGATCTTGAATATTTAAATCAAGTCACCCTTTATTCTTCCAAACTTTTCAATCACTGGCTGGACCAGCATTTATTGCCCAACCGTTATTTCCCAGAGGCAAGTTAAGAGTCAACTACATAGCCATGTGGTCTGCAGTCACCAGACCAGGTAAGGACAACACAGTTTCCTTCCCCAAAAGTAATTAGTGAATCCGATGGGTTTTTCCAACAATCAGTAATTCCAGATTTTTATCAAATTCAAATTGCACCATCTGCCATGGTGGGATTTGACCCTGGGTCCCCAGAACATTACTTTAATCTCTATATTAAGTATGGCAATAAATACCATAGGCCATTGTCTCCCCCTAGAACTCGTGGAAACAAGGGTAGTGTCCTAGGCCAGCTGACTCACTGGCCTGCCCTTGATAAAGCCAGCAGTGGGATGTTTACTTTGTTCCATTTTATTTGCAACTGCTCAGATACTGAGCTAGTCTGTGCTTGCATGCAAAGGGACAATCAAATTTGGACGCACGTATGGCATTGTTACATGCTGCCTAAATGCCAAACAAATGACCATCTCCCCATTGAGATATAGGAACAGAAATAGGCTATTCAGGCCCATTGGGTCTGCTTGACCCTTCGATCACTGCCTTCTCCTTGTAACTCTTGATAGCCTTTCTAATCAAGAACATTTTGGTCTTAAATACATCAATAACTTGACCTCCACAGCCTTCTGTGGCAATGATTTCCACAGATTCACTCTGGCTGCAGAAATTCCTCTTCTCAGTTGTAAAGGGTCACCCCTTCACTGACACTGTGCCCTCCGGTCCTAATCTCTCCTACTAGTGGAAACATCTTCACATACACTCCACATTCTATAAGTTTTA